AGTAAAGATGGATAACCTTACGCGTAAATATAAGCAAGTATCCTAAAAATGCAAGGTGTCGAATATTTATTTATTATTTTGAATAGACAAGAACGCGAAAAAATCGCGATGGAAGTGCGAAAACCCTATCAATCTACTTTTTAATAAATAATAGACATAACTGTTAAATCGCTTTTATCATTTAATGCATTTTTTTTAGCAAGTTATCAGCAAATGTATTACATTTTTTTTTCCACCAGTTCCTTCATAAGTTTACCCATTTTAACGACTGCTTCAGCAAGGCGCTCATGTTGAGCACTGATGACCCGAAGCTCCGATGCTATTTATCCAAATATCTCATTTTGCTCCTTCAAAAGATGCTGATCATTTGATGAGCGGCTGTGTTTGCATTTTGGCTAAACATACCTGGGTGCTTCTCCATGAATGGGACCAGAACTCTTCATGTTCTGGAGTTCTGTGCTTTCCCCTAAAAAGTTGGTATAATGCCCTCTGCTCATTATGGACGCGTCGCGTTTGCATCCATTTACCGTTTAACGCGCCCAAATCCCATACAAAACTTGTAGGCAAGGGGTGAAGAGGGGAGGGTGGAAATTTGTCGCGTTACAGGGCTGGAAAGTGAAATTTGTGGTATATTTAAGCAGTATTAACCAGGCATGAACATTTTTCTGGACCCGAAACTGATAAGAGGCTGATAAGAAGCGGGAAATATTAAAACCATTTATTGTTGATATTTACATGAACTTTATTTCGTATAGATTGGTATTTGATTTATGATATACGCCAAATGATCTGGCAATAGTTCAGAATTCCGAGGATGATCCAAGCGCATAAAGAGCAGTAGCAGTTCGTTTATCCAATGGAATGGCTCGGCTAGAAAGGATCGGAAGCGAAATATTGGTCGTTGCAGCGCAGCCACATGGGCTTCCCTGTCTTCATGATCTTGACGTTTGCTTCGCGTGCGCCATTCGTCCATTAAGGCGACCTCCTGGTTAGACCGTAGATGGCCATTCCATATTCAAATGACACACGTTGACAGGCGACTGCTGGAAAAGGGCACATCTCCCTCTTTCTTGCGCACAATGTTCTTGTAGGATTTCTGCCCCGTATCAGATTCTGCCGCCGCAGAAGCTACTGCTGTCGCGGGTCGTGTCAAAGAATTAATTAAATGACTGTTCAGATCTATATATATGAACGCCTTCTGCAGCAGATCCTTTTGCTTTCTGCCGTAATTAATGCTCAAGCAGCGTAACGTGGGATGTTGTTGCTTTCATCATTGCAGCAATGTTTCCACGCTGTTCAAATGCTGTTCTGCGATTACAATTATCAATAACAAATTATTTAAATCCATTGTTTACTTCAGCTCGCAAATAACAATAGCACAACAGCTGTTTTCAGACGCGTTTGCCAATGGAAACACCTCACGTCCGCCTATCGCGTTGCCAATCGAAAATACACAAAAATACCGAAAAAACCGCATAGTGGAAAAATGCCTTAATGCACATATACTATGTTTATACGATAGTAATCGCGATTTCTTGAAAGCGCGAAATACGACAGCCGAGAATTCATGCTTTTATTCACTCTCAGCTGATAGGGATGCCGGACCGGTAAAAATATCTAATTTTTAATACCACTGATTAGAGAAATGGCATATAAAAGGCCTTCAATTTCTAGCGATCTGGCAACGTCAGTCATTTTTTACAGAGTTACCATACTGCATATCACCAAATCACGCTTTTGGGCTGAAATCATAGTCAACTTTCGTGTGTTGCCGAATTCACGAAATGGCGTTTATACAAGCACGAATCGGCCGAAAGCGTGAAATGATAGCGTGTATTCGGCATCGTATAAACACAGTAATAGATTGCTAGAAAATAACTTACTTACATGTTGTCCAAAGGAATTGACGAATTTATTCAGTTAAACATAAGTTTGACACTCTAAGAGCCGCCGCAATTCCTACAGGCAGTTTTCATTTGCTTTTTGGCTTTTCCTACCATTTATAATTTCTTATTGGCACACCGCTTCTTCACAAACACAGCAAACAATTAAATTTTTTATTCTTTGGGCCGCGGCTAAAGGCGTTCATCGGAATTCATCCGCTAAATCTAGTATTTTTTTGGTATTTCCTTACCATTTCCTTAGCTGAACTGAGTACCGCGGTGAAAAAAGTCCCCGGCTAAAGGCTTTAGCTACCTATTTGCCTCTCGCTTACTCCTATGCTTAGCTAGCAGTTTTCGTCGTACTGAGTACTAGGCTTTAGAGCAGCCGTCGGCAGCGTCCTATTAAGTGAGCATAGGAAATTGTTCTGCTCATCCGCTGCCTCTCACGTATACTGTAGAACAGCGGTCTGCGCACACACACTGTTAAGCTGCCCCGTACAATTCACTCACACAAATATAAAACAAAACGTCAACGTATGTGTGTGCCGACCGCTGCTCTACGTTATACATGTGCGAGCAGCGCGTCGGCAGAACAAAACCCTATGCTCACTTAATAGGGCGCTGCCGACCGCTGCTTTAGAGCATTCATTAGACGCTTAGAAAGGGACAAATATATATTGTATTTTTGGGATTTGTTTGGATAAGATGGCCGTAATAGAATATAGACGTTAAATTTAAACTTTATATTTCAAATAACTTTAAATGGTTAAATCACTAAAATTGAATGTTGTAAAATTAATAGTGTGTATTGCCACAATATCAGACATTTTTACGTTTTAAAAATGTTTTGGGCTGTTCAAAGTACATATGTAATTGTTTTTAAATTTATCATATCCGGCATTAATTTTTAGAAAGGCAATTTTATATAAATTTATAGACGCAGTTTTGTCTTTATTTAGACATTTGATAGTTATTTTTAGTTAGCAACGGAGTAATTAGGCTTCTAAAATATGTTTTGTATTGTTCTTATTTGTTTATAGCACCTAATTAGTCGCAAAAGGTTTGACAATTCAACCAAAAAGCATCCAATCAATTTTGATTATTGATCCCATTTCACAGTATCTTTATGAAGGAGCAAAATTGTACTTTTAATGCCCTTTCCTTACCAGAGCTGAATGTAGCATTTTGACATTTTTTGGTATACGTTACATTTTTCCCATATATTTTCAAGTGGTTCTAGAGGTGGGAAAAAAGAGCATTCGTCAATAAATGCTACTACATTTCGATATTCTCGTGCCTAAAATACCAAATATCAGAGTAGTTTTCGACTATCGACAAAATGCCCATCGCAATATTTAAAAAATATTCAAGGCAAACCGTTACTAAAATGTCATCAGGTAAGCACATACACTACTGGTCAAAAGAATAAGTACACACGTTACACCCTCACTTGCTAAGAGATATCTCTATAGTTATTGAGGCCAGACCTCCCAAACCTTTTTATTTGGAAAGGTTATTCTGTTCTGCAATATTTAAATAAACAATGGATACAGTTAAACCTGTCTAATCCATGTTAGCCCTACATTTGTGCGATAGGTCGGTTTTTCAATTTTAAAAAAAATAGTTAAATTTTAAATTCTTAATTTTTTTATTTTTATTTTGATAGTAGATAAAACGACTAAAAAAATGAGATATGTTTCATAAAGATCGGTCAACAAATTATTAAATGGCTGTTGACGATGTGCACGATAACAAAACTGCTATATCGTTAAAAACGAATTTCATACAAACTTGTATGGACGGGCAATTTGTATTTATGTATAGATATCTAGCGTTGTGCGATTTATGTAGTACGGTTTAAGTTGTTTACCGATCTTAACGAAACATATCTCATTTTTTTAGTCGTTTTATCTACTATCAAAATAAAAAAAAAATTAAGAATTTAAAATTTAACTATTTTTTTTTAAATTGAAACCGCATGTAACTTTGGTTTTTTCTTATTTATTTCCCCTTTTTTCTTATTTTTTCGGTGTAAGTACTTATTTTTTTCCAAATCGATTTTATTTATTCAGAGTAGTACTTTTAAGGAAATTTTAGGGAATCACAAGCCATACTTAAGTGTTAAGTGTTCCTTTTAAGCTGCAAATCAGATTTTAGCATGGATGATGACTTTGAAATAACCAAATCCAGGCTTGGAAACTTTTTGGATCGTCCAATTGGCCCAGACTTCTTATAAACATGATCCTAACTTAAGATAAAATACTAACCGTAGCCCCATTCTATATTTAATATTTTAAAATTTATAAGTAACACAAGTGTACTTATTATTTTGACCACACCAAAACCGACCTATCGCACAAATGTAGGGCTAACATGAATTAGACAGGTTTTACTGTATCCATTGTTTATTTAAATATTGCAGAACAGAATAACCTTTCCAAATAAAAAGGTTTGGGAGGTCTGGCCTCAATAACTATAGAGATATCTCTTAGCAAGTGAGGGTGTAACGTGTGTACTTATTCTTTTGACCAGTAGTGTATATTTAATGTATTTTAATAAAATAATAAATAATATAAAAAATCATAGCGCAAAACGAAGGCCAGAGGTGCAAATGGACTGAGGAGGCGACGAACCATCTCATAGAGCTCTGGTTTGATAACCTGGATGGATTGCGCGGAGCTCGAAAGAACTCCCACATACACCGGGAAATGGCCGCCAAGCTATCCCAATTCGGTGCAACTGGCAAGGACGTAAAAGTAAAGATGGATAACCTTACGCGTAAATATAAGCAAGTATCCTAAAAATGCAAGGTGTCGAATATTTATTTATTATTTTGAATAGACAAGAACGCGAAAAAATCGGTCCTAGTGGAATTGATTTACACTTTTACACTTTACAAAGTTTGCAACGCAATTGAACACCCTAAATGTTTATTTTTTATTGCTCGATTTCACTGAAGTATTGACTTAAGGCATTGCGAATAGACTCAGCGGAATCATCCATATTTTCAAACGCAACTGCAAGATCAGGCTGCTCTCGATGCGAAGGCAATTCTAATTCCCAACTCTCTTGAAATGCACTGTTTTGTTCGTTAAAATAATTATGCAAAATACAACATCAAATAATGATCTTCTTGTTGTTTTTCGGTGCATTCTCCAAGCCTTTACCAATGCGACGAAATCGCGCCTTTAACTGTCCAAAGGCATTTTCGACAACACGCCGCACTTTTGAAAGATTATAGTTAAAACAGCGCCGATTTTCTGATGCGTCTAAACAAAACGGATAGGGCTTCATCACCGTCTTCGTGAACTTAAAAGCCGAGTCCCCCAAAATCACCACTGGAACGTTAATCCCGTTGATCATTTTCGAATTGTAGTTGAACAGCCCCGACTCTTCAATGGTTCTTTTTAATGAGGACTTCTCAAAAATCTGCGAGTCTTGTACACGACCTGGAGCACCAACACTTATATACGTGAATCTATAACAAAGAAATTTATTGGAGGAGATTCATTAAGTTTGCAATACCATACCGATAATCGACTAGGGCAAACAGTACAGTAGAATACCAATTTTTATAATTATGATAATCTACTCCATTTTTAGCGGGCGGCTTGATTTCGATGTGGCATCCATCTGCAAATTGAGATTATGCATGAGCTTAAAAACAAAACCAAAATTATGAACATACCCATTGCTCCAAAGCACTGGGGAAATCCGAGTTCCTCGAAGCCCTTCACACAATTTGCCAATTTTTCCTGTCTAAGGAAGTTTGGGGCTAGATATTCATCGGCCAATTGCACGATTATTTCCAAACAGAATTCCTTAAGAATAAACCCCACCATAGTTTTAGATACGCCAAAAAGTCTGCCAATTGTTCGGTATTCTGAAGCAGAGCCCAAGGTATATAAAGCTATGGCAACTCGATTCTCCAAAGGAATCGCTTTTCGAAAATTTGTGTCCTTCTTTTCCAGTCAAATTAGTCGACCCACTAGACCATCGAAAACATTCCTTTCGCAACGAAAATTTTTTATGAAAAATGGGACAGGGTTTTCGGGAACGTCCTTTTCCCAAAAGTTTCCATACCGTTTCTAATATTTTTGAAGGCGCATTAAAGAAGTCCGAAAGATAAAACTGTAAGGACTCACATGTGCCCACACGCTTCGAAGTCTTTTTGGCTGCTTTCACTTTCAAGAAGGGAAATTATCTCCAATGCATTCATTTTAATAATTTTACGTTTCGGTTGTATTTGTTGAATTTCGGTTGAATTTGAAAGCAAAGCACATTTATTTACTAAATGAGAAATGCTTAATGCTAAATGCTGTCCCGTGCGGACAGGAAATAGCATTTTTTTGAATACCGAAAAAATACTACAGTATGTACATCAGTGAGGAAATGGCATTAGATTCAATTTTGCTCATTGCTCTTCGCTCCAGGTAGTACCGTATTAGGGCACTTTAAAATACCAAAAAAATATCAAACGAATTAAGAATTTTGCTCATTGATTGGTCATTGCATCCGACATATATCTGTCTTGCTCGCACCTACGTAAAATCGTATAGGCTGAGAAAAAATTGCTCTAATGAATGAGCCGAACAATGTAGTGGAACGACCGCATAATGCGGTTATTCCACTACATTGTTTGGCTCATTCATTAGAGCATTCATTGGAGGCTTAGAAAGGGACAAATATATATGCTATTTTTGGGATTTGTTTGGATAAGATGGCATGGTCACTTAAAATTTAGACGTTAAATTTAAACTTTATAATTCAAATAACTTTGACTGGTTAAATCATTAAGGTTGAAGGCTGTAAAATTAATAGTGTGTGTTGCCAAAAAATCAGACACTTTTACCAAGTTTTTAAATTGTTTTGGGCTGTTTAAAGTACATCTATAATTGTTTTTAATTTTATCATACCCGGCATTAATTTTTAGGAAGGCAATTTTATATAAATTTATAGACGCAGTTATGTCTTTATATAGAAATATGCGAGTTATTTTTAGTTGGCAACGGAGTAATTAGGCCACTAAAATAATTTTTGTATTGTTCATATTTGTTTATAGCACCTTATTAGACGCAAAAGGTTTGGCAATTCAACCAAAAAAAATCAAATCAATTTTTATTATTGATCCCATTTAACAGTAGCTCTAATAAATGAGCAAAATTGTACTTTTTAGATTCAATTTTGCTCATTGCTCATCGGTTCAGGTAGTACCGTATTGAGGCATTTTACAATACTAAAAAAAAATACCAAAAGTGCCCATCGGTTTTTACAATTTGCTCATTGATTGCTTATTGCAGCCGACATATATCTGTCTTGCTCGCACCTACGTAAAATTGTATATGCTGAGAAAAAATTGCACTAATGAATGACCCGAACAATGTAGTGGAATAACCGCATAACCAAAAAACAATTAGCTTAAGCATTATTTAATTTTTTCCCGCCATCGATTTGATTTTTTCTCGTAGTCAACGTTCCATTTTCGCAGTCAGGAGGAAGAATTCAGAGTTGCATTTCACAAACACATTCTCCTTCTCGTTGTCCGTGGAGTGGCTGGACGGGGCCTTCTGTATCCGGAGATCCACACGCAGATCGTTGATCACATTGCTGGTGGCGGAGCGTATAAGCTCGTTGGTCGTCTGTCCTGCCGTCTGGCTGCCCGGGTTCTGGCGTCCATGGAATCACCTAAGCTGACATAGCTCACGGGACGGACGGTGGCCACATTGGTGGTGGTGGAGATGGTGTCCTTGTCCTGGCTGGATTGCGCTGATAATGATTGCATGGAGGGTCTATTCTTAAGATCACTGTGCGACTTGGAGCTCTGCCGGGAGCTATTGGCCAGCGGTTTGAAGGGCTGTGGCTATTGGTAGCGCGGCTTATCCTTGAATCTTAGGGAACCTCTTTTCGGAAATATCAAAAAGCAAATATCAGAAATCAAGTTATGCATATTGGTTGTAATGTTTGCTGACCATGATTCACCGACGATTATCGGCGAAAAGCTTTAAGCTCTGTGACCTTACATTTCTTTCAGTGTCATCTCAAACTAATGTATTGCTGCCTTCATTACACGTGCGAAATGGACTTCAAGAGGATCGAAGTTTTTAACCAGGATTCTGAGGAGCTGGACGCGGCGATCGCATATGTCGGGCGGCACCGTGCAGATATGCAGCAGGGAAACATATTGTTGACCTGCCTGCTGAAGCAACTGCACGACCGCCCGAAGCCATATGTCATCATATTCGACGAGTTTCACTTCAAACACGTGAAAAACTCTGTTTATCAAAAATGGAGGGCACTCGTGGCAGGAGTCGCAACCGTGGACGGGACGTTCACGAGGATCGTCCACATCCAAGTGGTAAGTGTGATCAAAAAAATAGAAATAACATTTGAATAATTATGGATTATTTGTAATTTTTAGGTTTGCATTGAAATGCATTTATCCGGTGGCGCCGAAATGGCAAACGGCCTAATTACATATCTCGTCGGAGCCGTTGCCGACCAGAACGGCACCAACACAGCCGCCAAGTCCTGGCTCACGGGACATGGGTGCGCTGTGGTCTACGACCACAGGCATTTGTGCAGTACGCTGGCCCGCGCTGGGTATTGCGACGCCCTGCTCCGACACCTTTACAGAAGCGAAGTCTTCTCACAAGAAACATTCGCCGTATGGACAAATTTTGGTCGGTCGGGGCAGGTGTGAAGCACGACTCAGCGCGGGTGTTATACCAAAATCAGCTGCCTCACATAAAATCCCTCCTAGCAAGATACTTCAGCGTAGAGACGGGGAATGTGTCACTCACCAATGTCAATGCCGACCTCTTGGAGGACATTGGAAAGAAGTGGGCCAGCGTGATGGCGAATGCGGTTGAGGCATAGAGTAGGAAACTATATAGAGACGCCATTTGCTCTGTCCGAACCTCTGCCCAAGCTCTGCTGAGAGCCAATTCAAGGCCAAGTTTGAAGCGAACTTCAATTTCTTACCGCATCCAACATGTGCGAAGCAACAGCAATAGTGGTGAGAGTACAGTCATTGAGTAACAATGTATAGAGACACCATTTGCTCTGCCGCTCTCTTCGGCGAATTCGCCAATGGCGAAAAACGATAATTTCCCTTACTTATAATATGTTCCATTCAAACATGCATTTTGGGCCCATGGTGAGTTTTATGGGATTGTATATATCTGCACCGCTCTCACTCACTGTTTTGTTTTTGTATGTTGACTCTCATCACTATTGCTGTTGCTTCACACATGTTGGGTGCGGTGAGAAATCGATGTTCGCTTCGAACTTGGCCTTGAATTGGCTCTCAGCAGAGCTTGGGCAGAGGTTCGGACAGAGCAAATGGCGTCTCTATAGAGTTTATTACAGGGACCGTAACTGTTATAAGTTTTATTTTAAAAATCACACTTTAACAGTTATTTTCTGATTTGTAAAGTAAAACTCAAAGAATAGCTGTTATTTTTTGAGTTTTATATTAAAAGTTGACAAATAACAGTTATTCGTCCTGATCAAAAATAAAACTCAAACTTGATTTATGCCGATTTTGTGGGAAAAATAAATTTAAAAAAAATATAGTTATAAAATATGCGCGGTTGCCTTTTTTAACAAATTTTTAGTAAGTTTTATAAAACATGGTTAGCATGTTCTTTTTAATTATTTCATTTTTCAAAAATGTCAAGGGAATAACTGTTATTCATAAAAATCAACAAATAACAGTTATTTTTTGAGTTTTATTATACAAATCAAAAAATAAAAGTCATAACGGATTTGTAAACTACAATGGCTAATAAAAATAGTGGTGTATTTAAAAAAATTTGATGACCCTTTTCTAAGTGCGTGATTTTTTTTGTAAGAAAAATTTACAATAACAGTTATTTTCGGTCCCTGGTTTATTATTCTATGATATAGCCGCAAAATTGAAAATCTGCTGTGATAGTCCGTCGTAATGAGTAATACACCAAATTAAAGGTATTGTTCAAACTTAAAGGATTGCATACCAAGACTTCAAGAAAATCAATTGGTTTGGGAGGGAGAGCGGTGAAAATGAAAAAATGAAAATTTACAAATTTGGATCTGTTGGAGCGGGTGGGGATAATTGACCCCTCGCAATGTTTTAATTGTTTTTTAATTGAAAAAACCCGTCGATTGAGGGGTCATATGATAAAATCCGTTCAAAAGTTATAGCCAAAAGAAGATTTTCTTCTTCTTCCCAAAATTAAACTTTAATTCTGTTTGTCAGTTCGTCCAAACATGGTTTTAAAGTCCTGAAAATTTGAGATGATGTTCAACAGCTCAATATAAGAAACTTTAGTTTTACCATTTTTGGAAAAAACCGCTAGTTTAGCGGGAAAACAGCTATAAATAGCTAAAATACGGAAGGCCGTAACTTCTAAACTACTGAAGCCAGACTTGTGCTGTATCTATAATCTCTATCTCTCTGTAAGCGCTTCCTATATGGAATTTGTGTAAATGTAATATTTAAAAATATATGCACAAAACAAATGTATTTTTAACTTTTTCTTTTGTTTGTTTTTATTTTTTTTTAAAGCGGCTCTAAGGGTTTTTTTTAAACTTCAAACTGTATAGCCCTTGAGATTCCTTAAATTTTGGTGTATATCATGTTACTGTAAAAAACCACGTTTAAAAGTTATTAAGAAACATAAATAGCCACTTTTGCCAGCTCATAACAATTAATACTGCCTGAGTATTGAATTTTGCGTGAGGGTATTTGAACTGTATTTAGTGTCATGGAATCATTTAAATTGTTTTTAGCAGATCCACATAGAAAACTTTTGTTTTACGAATTTAAAAAAAAAACGTTACTTAAGCAGGAAAAAAGCTAAAAATAGCTAAATTTCGTAAGTTTGTAACTTCTTAACTACTAAACATGTGCTATACTTCGTTTAAAAGTATTTTGAAATACTTAAACGCCTTTTTAACTTAATTTGTTTACATACAATGGTTTACAAATTATGATTGACCAATTTAAAAACACAAAAACAACAC